CTAAAGTCATGAAGGCGTTTTTTACTATGCTTTTTCTTAGTAAAAAAGGCATTTCTAAAGCTGCAGAAGACTTTTTACTATGGTTTTCTTAGTTAAAAAGGTATTTCTGAAGCTGCAGAGTCACTTTTTACTATATTTTTCTTAGTAAGAGCCACTTCTGAAGCTTTGAAGATGGCTTTACTATTGATTCAAATCAAATCAAATATTTGAATACTTGATTTGAATTTAATCGAATCAAATCAAATATTCAAATATCAAATTGAATTACAGAATCCTATCAATAATGATAATATAAATTTTAATCAAATTTTGGTTTTTCATCTTTTCTACTGACCATCTTCCATATTTTAAATAATAAAAAACTTATACTTATGATTATATAAAAGAAAAATTAATATATGAAAAGTAGAAATTAATTGCAATATTTTTAAAGATAATACCTTATTAATAGATCAAATATTGAATATTTTAAATTGAAAGTTATTAATAAATGTTATTCATATATATTTATATCAAGAGTTGTAAAATAATATGAAAGTTTATTTTTATTATATTAACTAATTTTTGTTCATTTGTTTTTTCTAAAATTATTTTTAACTTTTGTAAATAATTCTATAAGAAAAATAGATGCTTTATTAATTAAATTAATTAAAATTTTTTTATAATTATAATAAGAATACTTTTTTACTATAATAAAATATTTTAAAATACATTATTATGTTGAAAATAATTAATAATATGAGCTGTTCTTAAAAGTTATTTATATATATCTTATTTGTCTTTAAATTAATTTCAATAAATACTAAAATGCATTTAAAATATTAAAAATAGGATAATTAATACTTTTTTAAAACCAAATATTTAAAAGAAAAATCAATGATATTTTGTTATAATTTTTTTTATTTAAAACATAAATAAACACTATTTTCTTGCATATTTTCCAATTGTCTAATTTAAATATTATTGTAAAATATTTAAAACTAAAGAAATAATATTATCTAAAAGAATTTTAAATATAAGATATTCAACATCTCTAAAATAAGATGATTCAGTTTTTTTATATAATATTTTTTTTAGACATTAATTTTCAAGAATAAGATTTGATAATAAATTTTTTTGTTCCAAAAATATATTTGTATACAGATTTAAAAAAATCATAAAATAATAAAATAACAGTTTTATGACTATTGAAATGTAAAAGTCTAATAATTAGATAAAAGAATTACCACATTCTATTGAGTAATTATTTTTTGATTGCAGTAATTGCATAGTTATTATTTTTCTGGCCTGGCTAATCAGCAATTAAAAAATAATATTATGTTGAAAATACTTTTAAAATTTTAGAAAAGATTAATTAAAGTAATAAATATAATTTTATAAATTAATTAGAATTATTTAAATGTATTAAATTAATATAAATTGTATCAATTGGGATATTTCATATTAATAATAATTCTTTTTATTATAATTAATTGTGATTACATATTGGTATAAAATATTATTACTGGTATTATATAAATTTGTATATCTATCAATATAATAGGTAACAATAAGAATATTCCTATTGATATCATCAGAGACTTGTTGGAAACTGCATATTAATATATTGATATCAATAAGCATTATCCTTATTAATATCTTTATAACACCATCAATCATGATCACCTGATACTAAAAAAAAATAGAGGATCCGGTTTCTTCTGCTCCACAAATGACATATGGCCCAATAAGTTTCTTCTGAAAATGCTACTTTGAAATTTCCTATGTTAAAATATGTGATTAGCGGGATTAGTTTCGTTAAACGTTGTAAACGACGTGATATTGTAGTTTTTTTTATTATTATTACATAAAACGATCCAATTTTTTATAAATTTTGTCAAAAAAAAATTTATATACAAATAACTAAAATAAGTAATGCTCTTGTATATACTGTAAATGATAAAATTGAATTTGTAATAATTAAGATTAATTAAATGGACTCTTATTTATTTTACTTTATAATGATTGAGACTAAGGTTTCAAATGAATATTGTTTTTTCGATTGCAAACAAACACTTAACCGATTATTATTTTTTTTTACTTTAGTGATAAATAATACATTTAATTTTCCTTGTTTTAAAAATAAAAAAACTAGGGTTACATTTCCTTAAAGAAGGAATTAGAAAAAAATTTCAAGGTTTATTTATTGTCTGCTAAAGATAAAATAATTACAGAAACTATATATATAACATGTTGTCATTCATTCAGCAAAAATCAAAATTTCACATGAGCATAATATTAAATAACTATTGAAGAAGATATTTCACAAATTTTTTCCCAAATTAACGTGTACAGATTTGACTTGAGTATATTGATCAAGTGCGTATTTTCCTAACGAGAATTACAATAGAGAAGGTTAGATATTAATGGAGAGAATTACATAAAATAAATATTTAATTACCTCCTTCACGACCAATTCCTGATTCTTTATATCCTCCAAACGCTCTATTTGAGTTGAATACAAGTGAATACGCAATTTTTTTTTTACAACAACAAATAAAAGAAATGGCTTACGAGGAAGAGTCAAATAGGTTGTAACAATTCACTACGTGTGGAAAGATGTGATCAATTTTTTTTTTTACAACGATAGATGGAATTTGCACATTATAAACAAATGTGAATTTGACATACCCCAAACAGTTCCGGCTTTTAACTCGTTAGATAACTGCAAAGCACGTGTAATATCTTGAGTAAATACTGCAGCAGCCAAACCATATCTTGTTAAATTAGCCTTTTCAATAACTTCTTCAACAGTAGAAAATTTCGCTATTGCTACCACAGGACCAAAGATTTCATCTTGCATGATAGTCATCTTCTCATTCTATCAATCAAAATCGAAAATTTAGCGAGATACATGTCAAAAGACGGTGAAAGTAAAATTTTATTTACCACTCCTGTAAAGATGGTTGGTTTGATATAGTATCCTTCTTTACCGTGTCTTTCACCGCCCATCAACAAAGTAGCGCCTTCTTTCTTTCCAGCTTCAATATAAGACATAATTCTATGAAAGGATCAAAGAATTACGTTACGTTTAACCTTTTTTTTAGGAAAAAAAAATATTTTTTCCTTTTGAGATTTCCCCTACCTATCAAATTGAATTTGAGAAATTTGAGGACCTTGATCAGTATCTCCTTTAAAAGGATCACCAATATTAATATTTTCAGAAAGAACTTTAAATTTTTCTAAAAATTTATCATAAATAGTATCTTGTACATAAACGCGTGAACCGGCGCAACAACATTGACCATGATTATAAAATATTCCCATATGTGACCATTTAACTGCCGCTTCTAGATTTGCATCAGCAAAAATAATGTTTGGTGACTTTCCTCCCAATTCTAACGCGACACTCTTTAAATTGGAATCTGCTGAATACTTGAGAATTTGTTTACCAACTGTGGTAGAACCTTCATAATTTAATGTAGTAAAAAACGATAAATAAAAAAAAGGAGATGAAAAAAAAAAAGAAAGGAGGGGACAAGTCAATTTGGTATCCATACCGGTAAAACCAACTTTATGAATTTTCATATGAGTTGCGATAGCAGCACCAGCCGTAGGGCCGTATCCCGATAAGATGTTTACAACACCTTTTGGAAAGCCAGCTTCTTTAATTAAAGCAGCAATTTTTAATCCACTTAATGGAGTATATTCCGAAGTTTTTAATACAACAGTATTGCCACAGGCTAGAGCCGGAGCAAATTTCCAAGATTGCATTAGGACAGGGAAATTCCATGGAATAATAGCCCCGCAAACTCCGAAAGGTTCACGACGTGTGTAGCTAAATTTATCACGATCACTGTCAATCATCTGTTTTCAGACAAATATAAATGAAAAATTATATAAAGTTCGCAAGGAAATCCACTTTATATCTTTCGCGATTTATATTTTTTTTATACCTCGCCGTGAATTTTATCAGCAAAACCAGCAAAGTATCTGTATGTTGCGATGGCACCCGGGATATCATCCCTTTTAGCGACGGAAAAAGCTTTACCGTTGTTAAGAGATTCGATAGCAGCGATTTCTTCGAGGTCACGTTCCATTAAATCGGCCAATTTATTAAGCAAGCGACCACGTTCTGAAGGTTGGACATTTTTCCAAACTTTATCAAAAGCTTCTGTAGCAGCATCAACAGCTTTATCAACGTCTTTTGCAAACGCTTCTGCTACAGTGGTGATTGGTTTTCCTGTTGAAGGATTAATCGTTTCAAACCGTTTTCCATCAATTGCATCGATGAATTCATTATTAATGAATAGTCCCGTGTAGACTATGTGTATATTTTGTCACATGTTAAAATTAATCACGAAAAGGAAAAGAAAAAAATTAATTGGATGAATTTTTTTTTTGGATATTTACTTTTGATGGACTCCCCAGTTGGTAAAGTGATTGATTGTTCGTTAGAAGACATGGAGAAAATTTTTTGTCGTGTATTTTTTTTTTTTTTTTGTGGGAGTTCTCAGTATTTATATGATAAAAATCAGATCGATTACGAGTTAATTCCATTATGTAAATGTTAATTCCATTATGTAAATGAGTTCAATTGCCTGATTGCCTGAAAGAGAAAGCAATGCCTTTAAACAAATTTATCGGATTGGCGTAAAATCAATCATCACTAATATTAAAGGAGTTACGTAGTCACGTTCGGATGATTATAATAACGTAGAAACATTGTGAAAGTAATTCTTCAACTTTTTATTATAGAAGATACCTTATTAATTATTATAAATCATGAGGAAATTTAGAAATTTCTATTTATCTAAAAATAAGCAACTTTAATTTTCAAACTTTTGAAAATCTTCACTGGCAAATTTATTGGGACTTTTTGGACCCCCTATTATTTAAACTGTCGTGTTTTATTTTGATCATAATCTAAAATTTGTTTGAATTACAGCAGAATTATTGGCAAATTTTTTTTTTTTTAGTAGGAGACGCAAACATGAAAAATGAAATCATATTTGTTTATATTAAGAATTTTTAGGACGTGAATTTTGACCTCTTTTTCCTCTTATTCCTCTGCCAGGACCACGAAGTGCGCTTACTCTTCCGGATTTAACAGGAACAATTGAACCTCTTGATCTAGAAATAGTTCTTGTAGGAGGGTTTGACAGGGTTTTAGTTGCTGCTGAAGGATTTATAACGCTAGGTGTCAAAGATGTTATAGGTATAGGCATTTGATTTAACTCTGGCCTCAAGGAATTGAATGACGATGCACTTATTTCGGATGGTTGTCCCTCTTCAATATTCGACGATAATTCATCGATCGTCTTGGGGAATGTACTTATAGCGTCAATATATTCGCTAATATTTTTAGTTTTACATTCCAATAGAACGGTTTGTAAAGCGTACATCTTATTAAGAATTACTTCTGTTTCTGAGGACTAATTTAAATAAAAAAAATTATATTATATTGACTAATCCAAACAAAAAATTTCACCATGAGTTGATTTAGTCTTACATTCTCGTCAAAATATTTCATTTTTTTCCATTTTTCTTCTTCTACCATACGAGAAGAAGTCGGACGCGTATTTTTTTTAAGTGATGATTTATCCGACGTTTTATCATCACCCGTAGAGCCCTTGAAACAATTGGGATGAATATTCATATTACTGTACATATATATAAGAAAAAACCTTTATTGCGCAAATAATTGTTAAATGTATTACCGGAGGCCTTCCCCTTCCTGAGCCTTTTCCTTTACTCGAACCTACTCCAGGATCTTCTTGATTTAATTTAACACTTTTTAAGTCGTTAACAAGATCTTCCTCCTCCATGGCTTGTGCCTTTTTACTAGCATTCTTTAATTTTTCATCAATTTTATCAAGATATTTTAGACCCGGGCGTAGTTGCAATGTTGTGTGAACTGGAGTCATATGAAGTCCGCCTAAAAATCAGTAGAAAAATGTAAATAATAAATATAATAAATTAGATGAATTAAATTATTAATAATTAAAAATTGAAAAATACGATACCATGAAATTGATCGAGTATTACCTACCATCCTTTACTACACCCATCCAATAAGTTGCTTGAGGTTGTACAATTGTAGACTGCAAAGTCTGTTTATCCAATAAACCATCATTTCTTTCACGCCGCCATGATCGATCATAAATGGTTCGAGCTTCTTTATCATTAAGACCCAGAGCCAATTCCTCTCCTCTATCATGATTATACCATTGTGAATTTGTTTGTAACGGAATGTCGAATTCAAGTTTTTGTGAAAGTTGTTTGAAACGTGCTTCACGAGGTATATTATTCCCGACATAAGGGTTTGTACGAGGTTTAACAGGATATTGTATAATGTAAAGTTCATTGCTGAGTTGTTGAGAGAGATAAATAGGGATGTCTTGTATAATGTCGTTTGGATCAAGTTCAGTATCTGAATCAGACATGATCATACAACTATCATCCTGAGAAACCTTTGAAGGAGTAACGATCACATTTTCAGTAATAGACTCAAACACTTCAGAGTCCGATAATTTGAAGGGAATATCAAGAGTAAAAGGAACTTCATCCATGTTTAAAAAACTATACATATATCAAAAGAAAAAATTCGCGTTCTTTTTATATAGTGTTACACGAATATGTTTCATAACTGAATTGGGCAATATTTAAATGGTAAATCTCTCAAATTATTAAAATTACTCGAATTAAAATAAAAATAGTTTAGCGGTTCTAGTAATGGACAAAACAGCACCTGTCCCAAATTCCAATTCAAACAATTCAGTGAATAACAGCGGCGGAATTGGTGGTCCTACTACAATTTTACCCGCCGCACCTTTTCCACAACCAGCTCCACGTTCGCCTTCTAGTTCTTCTGCACAAACTGATTATAGCAGTTCTAATAATACAGCTACAGCTGGCTCTTACGATTTTTTATATGAACTTGTACAAAAACGAATCACTACTTTTACATATTTAAAACAGGCTCATGAAGGAAGAATACACTGGTTTAACACGGTGTGTTTAAGTAAAGAGGATTTGAGAATGATGTATGAGAATGTTAAAATGAAGAAAAGGTATTAATGAATAAATCACTTTGATTTAAGAATTTAAAGTTATCCTTGACATTGATTTAATATAATTAATTTTAATTTTATTATAATAAGGACAGGAAATTTTTTTATTTTGGGTGCATCATTAGCTCCAATACTTGATATAACAAACCCTCAAGATTATGTTAAAGCTTTAAATGTGATGTTGCAAGAATTCGAATATCACACAAATGAGCATGCAAAGCAGAAAATGGTAAATAAGAATTAATTCATTACATTTTACAGTAATCAGAGAAATTAATTTTCTTTCTTTTTTTTTTATGATTAGAAAATGTTTTTTAGAAAATCAAAAATAGTGAAAGATGAGGATACATCATTTCAAGAGAATGGAGAATACACTTATTTATTTGTGCCTAATATAGTATGTAAATTTCGAAAAATTTTCAAATTCTAGAAGATTATTTATTAATATAAGGATTCATTGAATAAATAGCCCTTTGATTTGGATTATTTTCAAACATTTTACACACTCTGTGATATTCTAGTAGACGTTTACAATAAATTATTGGAAGGAACTGCTACTACGCTGACAGCATCATTTACAGAGAGTGTATTAAAAGTCGATGGGAAATTCAAGGTTCGAATTCTTTTATCTATTGATTATAATTTGTTTTATTTTGTTTATTTTTATTTATTTTATTTCACTTTCAGAAAATAATTGCGCTTGTGGCCAAGGAAATTGACACATTGGCTCGTAATACCATCAAAGAAGAATTGAGACCCATGGATCCAATTATGATGATAGGAAACGCAGGCGTTGTAGGAAGCAAAATGAGTTCTTCAATGAGTATTAAGAGTAATATTAGTAATACTACTACTCTTATTGGGAGTGAGATTTTGGATGCCGGATGGAGTGCTGCAATTTGATGATTATTATCATTATCATCATTTTTTTGTATATAAGGTCATAAAGATTTAAAGACATCTCACGTGATTTTATTATTCGCGTTGTACAACATGTAACAACAGCTGTTTTTCCGATCGCAATATTGCAATGCATGGGAAAAAGGGATTAGTACGTTTATTTATATTGTCAAAAATTTAACATGGCGACTTTTGCCACGTTTTTTTTTTTTTTTTTTTTTTTTTCCGTTACTAGTAGAGAAAATATAAAAACATAATTAAATTTAATCCGATAAAAATACAAATGAGTTCACAAAACATGTGATTAGAATTATGTTGATTTTACCGTTTCATGTTTATTAATGTATACAGTCAGACCTTTATATAATCACAAAATTGGTTACACTTTTAAGCAGTGATTGTATAAAAGTGTGATTATAATTATTAAACCTCTATATAATCACCACTATAATTGTGATGATTAAATCGTGAAGATTCTTCACGGTTACACCTATGATGTAATAATGCGATACTTCATGCAGATATTCCTCGATCATCGATAAATGTTAGCCGAACACAGGAACAATTGCATGTAATTTGTACTCAGTTTACGTGCATAAAAAAGACCCTTATTGATCTTTACGGGATAGAGTCAAATGCTTCTATTATAAGTTATGGTGCATGATCAGATATATTTTCGTGACACAGTCATAATTCTCCAAGATGATTCCAAAATCAATTTTTAGACCCATTTGCGAATTATATAAAGATAAGCATTGGTTAGCGAAATTATTTGCTTCGGAATAATGCAATAGATCTGAAATCATTTCTTCTCGGGAAGAATTGGCATAAGATACATTTTATTAATAAATTTTGAGGTGTGATCAGCATTCAAATGAAACAAGAAAAAGCTATAATTTTGAAAACTAAAGATTTAGCGATGTATCTTATAACATAAATGATATGTTATCATGCACTAATTATATTTTTTATTTTCTGATGCATACAGGGAAATTTTATTGGTAATATCAGCGTCATATTATTTCACATTATTTCTAAAATAGTGATTTTTTCTTTGCTATATATCGAAACATAATCTTTTCCTATTGTTATCAAATTTTCATCACATAATTCTTAGGTCGATTCAGTCGAATCGGAAATTAATCAAGAATTTACGGAAAATTCCAGTTTTATTAAAGCAATCTTCTAGATCGTCATATGGTCTCATAGACTCCAAAAGTTTGGCACGTTTAATGCCTATCCCAAAGACTGATGTCAACTGAGTTATTGTGCAATTGTTGGCGTTGAATTTATCGTTTTCCACTAGGAGGAATGCCCTTCCTACAAAGGGACCAAAATACGGCTTCCAACAATCACGATCAACAATAGCGGACAATGGTGACAAACTTTCTACATTGGAACGCCCACAAGTGTAAAGTATAAAAATATCATTATTATCACATGCTTTTTTACGCTCTTCATTAAACATTGCTTGGTTCACCATTGTTGACTTTAGGCACTTGCATTGCTGGCTTTCTATATGAAGTTGAGAAGAGTTTGCAAAATAAATTGGGCAAAATGAATCGCCAGCAGGTGCACTCGATCCATTGATGATGCAGGCAGATGCATCTTCAAGATTAATATTAATTTGATCATTGCCTCTCTTGCAAGTTACCGTTTTATTTGCAGAATAAGCGCTTGATTTGGTACTTTGTTGCCGGGTAGCTTTCGCCAATGATAGTGGTATGTTTCTAATGGTAGATGTGCCAAAGTTATATTTCGCGCCAGCATGAATATCTTGTAATTTTATTTCTTCATCAATTCCAAATACATTTGATTTAAGGACACGAAAAGAGGCAATGAAATGTTCAAAATGTTGCCAAAATTGACAACCAGGAGGAATGGTTGGGTCCCCGTCATTAGACTGTAATTCACTGTAGTACTTAAAATTCCAATTAAGTAGAATACGATCATCTGATGTATTTGCCATTAACCACAACCAGATATATGGACATGTTAAAGTTCCTTTATCGCTCAATTCATCTTGTTTCTCAAATTTGACCAGCCCTAGTTTTGAGAGTTCTTCCGGTAAAATATTTGTGCCAGGAATAGGATCTGATATCACCAAAGTTGTGTGCGTCATAATAGCTCGAAGAACAGGTGTTAGATAACGAGTATGACTAATCCATTCACCATAGAGATCCCTAAGTTTATGATATACTTTTTCAGCAATTGAAACAAAGCCGACATTTTCGAAATCTACCCCTTTTAAAGCTGATTGAAGTGCTTCTAATGCTCTGCCATTTCCGCCCATATCGCTTATTAACATATTAAGGAGAGGTGTATCTTTAAAGATTGGCTTTCCCTTTTTTTGGGGAGGATTTAAAGAACGAATTGGAAGGAAAACCCGCTTTTGATGAGAATCAGCAACCATTTGATGGAATGGACGTGCTAAAGTTGCTGTGCAACACGCAATAACAAAGGGGTGTTTATTGTTTGTGGCAATAAGAGATATCTCCGTCAAAAAAGAATAGAACAGTGATCGTTTGTCTGTGCCATCATTTTCATTGATTAAAGCGGTTTGCAATCCATCAACAGTTAATATCACGGTCAGTTCCTTTAATGCCACGTTTTTTTGTTCGGTGCATCTCATAAGAATATCGGGGATTGAAACGGTCTGCGGATCATCACGAATTTGACTCCAGAGAAGCTGATCCTGAAGCTGGTACAACATCCGCTTAGCAATTGCAACATTTGCATTGGTTTCAATGGATAGGTTGATTTTTGTACCATTTTCAAAGGTAATGGCAAAGATAAGTGCATCTTCCAAACGAGATCTCAATTCAAAATCATTTACAAATATTCTGCGGAGTATTTTAGGAATCTCTGTTGCATTTCGAGATTTCCCACATCCAGCACCAGACACCATAAAAAATATTGGTGTATTTGATTTATCACGTTTATTTTCTTTGAACACGCTATATAGATTCTGAACATGCTCTCTTAATTCTTCTTCCAACTTAGGTGATTCTTGATAATCCCAAGAAAGTCCGTCAGTATATAAAAGTGGCGTAGGAGACCGTCCTAAATCTAAAGGAATGTTATTAAAATTAAGCCTTGGTCTTTTATTTGGATAATCTAAAAATATAGAAACAAGTTAATAAAAAAGATCACAAATTTCTTGTTCGAGAGGTAAAATGTAGGGAGACACTTACCAGTGGCAGGAACTTGTACGATGATGAGACTTTCATTGACTGCATCTTTATTTGAAAAATATTTCGAAAAATGGTCGATAGGAACCAACTCTTCGCCTTTATTTTTAATTTGTTCTTCAGTAATAATATCTTTAAGATTAACACCACGAGCGATCTTCCAAAGGTTCAGGTCATTATAATCATCAATAATAATTTTTTTTTCACGACAGATAAGATACTTGAGGTGTGCAATTTTAAGATCAACAAAGTTGACTTCATTTCCATTAATGTCGTTTTTATCACAAACAGGAACCGTAAAAGAACTAGAAAGAGTAGTCATTCCTAGGAATATACAATTTAATGCCATTTGCATTTTGGAAATAATTCTTTAATGCGATAGAATGAATTTTTAGTGAAAATATTTTTTTAGAAAGTTTTGAGAAAACTTGAAGTTTGAGGGTATATATATCCTTTATATACCTTTTTGAATACATCGTGGATAGGCTCTTGCATAAAGGGTATTTATTAAAAAAAGTTGAACTAATTTTTAGGTCGTACAAATGGTCCTTTTTTAATCAAGCGCATACCGTTACTCAAGCCGTCGTGCTATTTTCTCCGAGCATGAACTCATTAAAAGAAACCGATCTATCGCAGTTTAAGAAGTGTTGACGAAAAAATTATTGAAGTTCGGACGGGACATTTCGCAATTAAGGTATGAATGAAATATATTTTTTCGGTTGTGCCTGTGCATTTGCGAGGAAGCTAGCAGAACTAATATCTATTTTTTTGTTCAGAAATTTCTAGGACCTTATTAGGCGGAGACCATAAACTTTCGGTGAGTTTTACTAAGTCAATATTATTAATTTATTTCTTACTCCACGAGTTCTATGTATAATTGACGACCGTTTTATTTTCCAGAATATCGACGTTGGGGACAAATGAAATCGGATGAGTATTTAATGTTGGGATACTGTTGTTAGTATATAGATAGCTTAGATGAACGAAACACCGGCAGGCATTAGTATAGAGACTCTATTTCAATTTATAAATCAAGTTTATGTATTACCGAATCTTATAATTTATTTTTACATCAATAAATCAGAAATTCCGATCGTGACATTTTGTCACGGTTTTTTTATCTATGCTAACGAACTTTTGAATTATTCCATCTCATGTAAAAAATTATCATCGAACATGCAATCCAACGATTCATTAAGGGAATTAAATGCCAAGTAGTGTTAAGTGCGGTTGATCAGATTTTCGTGATGCGATCATATTAACGTAATTTCTCCCAAAACGTATTCCAAAATCGATCCTGGAAATTATATAAAAAGGTGGTATCCCTGTTAGTGAATCCTTTTTATCCGCCTTGCAAATAAAGCAAAAAAATTCAACCAATCAAGCTCTTACCATTATTAAAATCATTGATATTAACAATCAAACGAACTCGTAGTTTCCGCAAAGTAATAATAAAATAAGTTGGTTTATTGCTCGGCTAGTTTCTCTAAACATGTTAATCGATTTTCCCGCCTCTACAGATGTTCCAAAACAACCGGACATATTACTCTTGTTATATATCGTCATTTTGATCTTCGCCGAGAAAATCTGACTATCATCACGCGTATAATAGGCGCAGTGAAATAACTACGACTAATCTAATCAAATCCACGTGTCTCATAAATTTCCCTATCATCTGATTTTCAGCATCAACAAAATTTAGCGCAGTATCGTACTGGCGATAAAATCACTCTATACAACAAATTCCCTAAATACAAGGCGGAATGGAATGTTGTGAAAATGGATCGTAGTGATAAGTGTGAATCGGAAATATTATTTTTTTTTTACATCAGTTGCTAATCTCCCGAATTTATGCTTGTAGATTTTAATCTCGGAGAAGCTTTCTTGCGGGAAATAATCTTTTATATAGTCGGTGTGGATGAGAGTGATATAGATAGACGGAAATTCTGTAGATACTGTATGTGCGAGAAAATTTATTTCGGAAATCTAGTATAATAAAAGAGTGTGAGGGTGAGAATCTCGTAGTTAGCAATAGTGATAGAAATAAATTAGGTGTAAGAAGCCCGAGAGAGCAAAGAAATAAATTGATGCTGGGACTCGCATTAAATGGCCCAGCATCCGCGTTCTTCCTCCCTCTTTGATAGCATCATACATTTCATTTATTTTATGTTCGCTATTCTGTGAAAAATAAATAATAAAATTAGAAATGAAATAACCAAATCGTTCCTTAAGAGACTCAAAAAAACCACCTTTTTCAATTTTTTAATTATACACTCTGCATAGAGAAAATGATTGCTTGGAACACTCCCGTGTAAGACCTGCAAACCCACCGCAAATTAATCACTCTGAACCCCTAACGAGCTCAGGACCATGTTGCGTGACAATCACGGTAAACAGGTGTGGGAAGGTATTCCCCTCTGCCGAGCTGTCAAGCCCTCCGTAAATTAACCACTCTGAAATCTTACGATCTCAGGACCATGTTGCGTGGCAATCGCGGAAAGACAGATTAGAGGTGCTCATTCTCAATTTTTCTTGAACAATTTTCTTTGAACATGGTGATCATCATGATATCTGGTACAGTGACACCATGTAATGTGACAAATATCCCTTTCAAATACACGTGTTTAGGATGTTTAGGACGCGACAAAAAAAAAATTTTCTCATACATTCAACATGTCAGACCCAAAAGTTGAGAAATTACCGATTTAAAAAGAAATTCAAAAATAACACCTTCTTCGCAGACACAGATGCCTGGCAATGGTCATTTCACCGCTTCTACACTTCTATCCTTTACTCTGGAGATTCGCCGAAAGTATTCAATGAAATTTTTGACAAGTGGAATATCAGTCTGAACTTCATACGAAAGCACGACTCTACCCCGGAATCAATAGTAAATTTCGTGAAAGAGCTAATTGAATATAATGATTCCAAGGAATTTAGAGAATTGCGGGAGGCTTGCGAGCAGAATTTCCACACTCACGTTCTCTCATACATATCAAGTAACTCAGTGGCGAAGAGTGAAATGGCACAGGGCTACATGAAACAGTCGAAGGAAATCTTGTCAGGTGAATTACACAAGTGATCAGCTTCCGATTTATCTGAAGATGATGATGACCATGAGAATATCGGAAAAACGGTAAGGTGTTAGAGTAGACGTTTAACCTGGAGTCCTGGATTTTATTTGCTTGTTCTAACACTCAACTTACTCAATACGCACAGAATGGGCAAAAGCGGAAAAAATCGTCATTATCAAATAAGGTTAGAATATAATTTAAAACTTTTGATATATAATGATTTCTTGAATTTTAATGCGAGTATTTTTTAATGACGATTATTATCTGCAGAATAAAAAATCAATTGGCCCGCCTGCGGAAACATCTTTACCAAAGAGACAAAGGAGCTATTTATCGGATGATGATTATGAGCTTTCATCTTTCGATTCTGAAATAGTACCTGTTTCGCTCACAAATGTTTTTCGCGAAATTTCCGATGAGTGTTCATATTCTGACTCTGATGAATTGAAGGACAATACGATCGAATCAGGCACATCTACAAAGGAAGTTGAAAATAAAAGGCCAACGACCAAAAAACGACAATACATCACTCAAGATATTGCAAGTGATGCTCTAAAAGCATATCAAATGCGTGTTTTACCAGGTGACAAGCTTATTTATGATTATATGGACGTGCTAGACTACAAACTAGATGAGGCAGGGAATAGCCCCATATCAATTGGGGTGATAAATTTTTATAATACAGATTGTACAAAATATTTGCCCCTTGATTATAAAATGTTTATCGCAAATCAACTTCAAGACAAGGAGATAAAAGCAGTAAATTTTACCAATGGAAGAGCAATTGATAAGTTTCTAGTCAATTGTGAGGAAGGTGTCATGCAGTTTTTGGATAAGTTTAAACATATAAAAGACTTGGAATCTTTAGGCAGATGCCTGGGCGAAAATTTAATCAATTATTCTACTGCATCAAATGACTTAATTTATGTTCAGCACCTTCTCCAGCACTTCTACTTCTTATATAAAAATGATACTTTGCTCCAAGCTATGTCTGAACGTGAATATAATTCACACATATGGACACCTTTACTGAGGAATGCCTTTCTCGGAAAAACAGATATTAAGTTTAATTACGGAGAATTAGCATCAATATCCTATAACAAACTCAAAGAAATTCTAAACATTGCTGGAAAGAGTGGACCAAAGCTTGATGGAAAAGCTTTCCTTGGATCATTAGGCACGGAAGTCTTAGCACAAGAAGACGGGATTCTAAATACACGTGGAAAGAGGAAAGGCGATCTGAGAAAATTAGAATATTGTACAAAAGTTATTCTAACAGCTTTGTATATTTCGCTTCCTACTACTGCAAAGGCTAGAATTATAGATATCGAAACATATCGTTTACAATCTAACGGATTTCAACTTACTATATCAGCATCAAAATATCTTTTCGAAGACACAATTATAACAATGAACTTACAGGATATCGAGGTACCAAGGACTGTGGAAGCTTTCTCGAAACTTATAACAGCTATAAAAGTAATTTTATCCTGGAAAGCAAGGACAAGGAAGAATACAGATGTTTTTTATGAGGTATTAGAAGAGGGTCACGGACGCCTAAAAAATGAGGAGCAATTCACGCCAAAAAAATTTTCTATAAATTAATGGTATAGTGGAATATAATAAAGGAGGAGGGCAATCACAAATGTGTTAGCATATCACATTTAATGTAATTGAAAATATTTTAAACGTGATTCTAAAATAAAATTTATTCTCTTGCGAATCTTAGTGTTCAATATATTTTTTATTATGTATAATAAAGATTTCAAGTTGAAAAGGGCATCAATACTGTATATGCGGTTTTGTTCATGTATGGTTACCCATATTGGGTTTGTTACAAGACCCGGGTATTTCGGACGTTATGTGATGCATCGGAATGAAATAATGTCACTGGCCATTGCGCAAACATAAAAAATACCACGGTACTATTAGTGCGCACATGATTATTCGGATTACGTATTTTCGATGTGCTGATCATAATCCATCGTGAACAGGAGAAATGCTAAAATCCTTGAAAATACTTTTTTGGAGCAGAAACTCCTGAAGAAGCATAGCTTCGAAGGGAGAAATTTGAATCGTAATATTCATTAGTATAAGTTGATAAAGAATCGCTATAATCTGCTAAAATCTGCTAAAAAACGCTATAAATACATTATAAATCTCTTAATCGTTAAAATCGTTAAATATGGTATATTCTGATCCCTATATACAGTACATTTAAGTGAAACCGATTCGCATGTTAACTACGATCTTCCTAGGGTGCGTGGAAATGAAACTTCATCTGATTGGAAGAAGCGAATCTGGGACACATTAATGGTTTATAGAAAACATCATCTTTTGACCAATCCTAATAAGAGATATCTTATTGCCAGAAAACCAATATATTTATATACTGTGATATTTGGTTCGGAGTAAATATAGGAATATGCTATTCTTGCAATCAACTCGTCTATTCCAAATTAGGAAGCAGATACGAGTATTTCCATGCCTTCTTTATAGACAAGCATTGGCGTATAAATTGCACAGGAAATGAATATTGTGATATGAGCTTCAAAGACTACATAAAGCTGAAAGATAATCTTCCACCTTGCTATTTCACAAAGAAGGCAATCCGTCAATATGAGATGTGGTTGGAAAATGTATCAAGCAGAATTTGACGTATCAGGCAAAAACAGCTGAGAGGCACAGAGCATAAGATGCAAAGTAATGTTTAATACTGCGCTATTCATTATCATAGATACTCCTTTGAGAAGATTTGGATGAATGAGCCACATTCATTGACCCCTCCTCCTTTACCACCAAAGCCTTTACATTAATTCAGCGTAGTGCAAGTACACCTGAAAGTATCTTTTCAGGCTATAGCTTTAATAGAAATCAGGTTTTAATTGATGCTGAAGAATATTTTAATTCTGTACAAAAAAATGCCCTCAGAGATAAAGCTATCTAATATAAAGAAAAGCCCTAATAACTTATTCAGATAGTATAGTATATACTAATAGATTATTTTTTTTTTCTGAATGAATATGAGAAAAAAAAGAAGGGAAGTTTAATAAAGCAATCTTGGGGGTTCTTGATTCCTAAATACTACTATCATTATAGCTTTGAAAATTTCTATGCAACAGTTATCCAGCAGGCTTACAGGAATTATAAGAAGAGACCTGCAAAACAAGTTTGGGAAGCAGTGAGAAATGATGGTACTCCTGACAGGTAGAAATATTTAGGCAATATTTCTTGTAATGAGGCTTATTATTATATTAATGGAAAATTAATAAAATATGATGGGAAAGTTGATCAATTTCTTTCACAATATGGTCATTCCATTTATATGGCTAGAACTTGGGTGAAAAAAAAATCAATTATTATATCGATTAGATTGGGTGCTCTTTGCTTGTGCTAGAAAAACATTACAACAAAAAGGTTATATATCAAATTAGTATACTACGATAAAATAGGCACAAATCCCGAATATTATCTTGATACTAAAAAAAGTCCAATCAGTACACTAGTAATCAGAATAGAAATGTTGGTACAACTCAATTTGCATATTAATATCCCGCCTAATAGTAATTAGTGATATAGAGATAGAGCATTCTAAGAGTTCCCTCAAGAAATGTTTCTTAATATTATATTTAATATTATTTTATAAACATAGAGCTAATCTGTAAAATATATTACCTGCAAGAGAAAATTCATCTATAGATTTTTAAAATACGATTGAAGTGATATATAAATAAAAAATAGTTCTATATATGGAAATGTATTATATTAGCTTCATATTTGCTTACGTCTTACAGCCAATGCTTATAAGCATTGTGCGATAACCGTTAAAGCGCTAAAGCATAAATAAACATTTTTCTGATCCTCGTTAAAATATATATGATGAATAGTGATATACTGCTAATCATCTGTACAAGTGTGACCATTTGCTTGTGTGACAAAATAATTTCACACATAAATTGACTTCTTCCAAAAAATGGTTCAAATTTTTTCTCTTGCAATGTTCTAGGAAAATAGCATATTAATTGATATGTATATTTGCTCTAGAGAGACAGGCTATTTCTACCCTCCTTCGATCATAGACCTGCAGAAGATATCTATACAAGTAATAGCATATCTAAACAGACGAAAAAAACCATATATACATTACACCCAATGTTTTTCTAAATGTCAAGATCTTCAATGCATATTTCACATGCTCTTATTTTCTAATACAAATGTTTACCATAGAACGTCTCGCATATTTCTCCTATTTCTTCTTCTCAACATGAATACAAGCTTAGAAAAAACGTAAATGGAGTTATTTAAAAGGGTAGTATATGATTTTTTTTAGCTATTTGTCGCTTATTATTTTTTTTTTAGCGAAATTACTATATTTTTATCATTATATCTTCTTTTACATTATATGAAAATATTTATAATTTTTTACTTGATTCATCCTCAGATCATATTATCGCATTTTCTGATATTTTTCAATTAATAGAAGATGATACATAGTATTCAAAAGATAAGTTAAGAAAAATAATTCATCAAACAATTATAGTAGTGAAAAAGAATTCCGATCAGACTTCAGAAAAATATCTCAAACTCGTTGATATTCCCTTGAAAATTAGTGATTTTTACTATTATTTATCAGATTTATAATTCCAAATGATGATTGCGAAGAATGATATTATAATATCAAATTAAGGAAATACCATAACTAGAGTTCTTCAAAATCAAATCAAATCAAATATTGAAGCAATTTGAATTTGATTTGATTTTTTCGAATCAAATCAAATCAAATCAA